ATAAAAGCATGATTTCAAGCTAGTTTTTAAGTATAAAGGTTGCTTTTAGTATCAATTTTAAGCATGAAAATAACAGTTTTTCAACTTTTATCAGTAAGCCGACCGCTGAACAGGCCGCTCTGCAGGTTGTTGAGAACCCTCGTATCGCATGTACTTCTTGAGCTTTCCGCTCGGATTAGTTCCTCTATCTTGTCCTTAAGAGTCACACACTCTTCGGTGGTGTGACCCATATTCTTGTGATAGGTGCAGTGTTTGCTCCCGTCCGCATCCTTCGGGGTTGGTCGCTTCACGGGTTCGGGGATAAACTCTGCGCTTAACGCCTCTCGAAGGATCTTTTCCCTCGGGGCATTCAGGGGGGTATACTGTTGGAAGCGGGGCCCCCTTCTCTGCTCCTTATGCTGTGGGCCGAATGGCTTCCCAGCCGAACCACCGGGTTTCCCACCGTCCGCCCTTTCCCCCCTCAGCTCTTGGTTTTCTCTCTTATAAGAGAGCTTCGTATCCTCTACCCTTATCTCGTCCGTCGCATGTTCTCTCAACTCTTCCATCGTCTTGGGAGCTCGTTGGCAGACACTATCTTTAAACAGTCTCGGCTTAAGGGCCGGCAGAATGTAGTGAAGGGCGAGCTCTGGACTTATACTCTTTACTCGTCGGACGGTCTTCTGATACCAGTCCATGAACGCTCGTAGCGTTTCTTCTTTTCCCTACTTGAGGGTAACCAATTCAAACACGGTCAGGTCCTGAGTACTGTTAGCCGCGAATTACCGGATGAACAGCTGCTTCAGTCCGACGAAGTTTTCTATGGAATTGGGAGGAAGGGTGTTGAACCATTCCAGTGCCTCGTCCTCCAAAGAGAGCGAGAACGCTCGGCACCAAATGACGTCGTTGCCCGTTCTAAATGCCATAACGTTCGAGAACGTTTTGATGTGTGCCTCGAGATTTGTCGTCCCGTTATACATTTTGAATTGTGGTGCTACAAATTGTTTCGAAATTTGAACATCCATTATATTTTGGGTGAAGGGAAGTAATAATGTGGACAAGAGCTCTGGCTTCACCACCATCTGTCTGTCTTCGGCCGCGCTCTTCGCGTGTACCGACTTAACTTTGCTCCCTTCAGCTTCGGACTCGGTAGGCCTCTAGGTCTTATCACACTCGGTACCTTGGGGCGTACGCTCTTCCGCCACGGCTTTTCCTTTATCTTTCGCTCGCTCCTCTTCTCCGTCCTTCCTTCCAATCTCCCGAGCTATCTGGGCCTCACAATCGGCCTTTACAGCTGCCAACTCGTCCTCGTGACGCTGTTGCATTTCGTCCATCTTTTGCTGTAGAACTCTGATCATCTCAATCGGGTCGTCCATGCTCATATTTCTCGTGGTCACCATTGGGTTTTTAAAATCACACGGCCCCACGGTGGGCGCCAAATGTTTCAGATGTGTAGGGCTGTGTTATCTTAAATCTCCAAGTCCTCCTATGCTCGTGCACCTGTCACCGGTCCTTTGTCCTTGATCCTTGATTTCCCTTTTGATCCAGGGGGCGGGAGACCTACAAAAGATTCTCCAATGCCAAAGTCAGTTGAGAGCAATGACTTTCTCTAACGAACAACAATAAATGTGCAATGAATGCAACCAACCTTACCACTCAACCTGGATTTGTATTTATAGTTTTCGCTATGGGCTTGGGATTAGTGAAAAGTTAATCACGGCCCAATTCAGCCTAATAACTTTTAATCCCTACTTACCTTAAGCCAAGTTGATTAGTGACGTGGCTGGCCGTTCTCGCGGGACTTATGCCCTGGGCGGCCGACTTCAGGCGGATCATGATTTAGGGGACATGGACGTCCGTCCTGCCATGCTCAATCCTTCCCCTCAATCAGTAGAAAGGTTTCCTAGGTCTATTATGTTGAGATGGGTGGCCGGTCCGTTCGGTGATTGGATGATGTGGACGTCTTTCTGTACGACGTCCGGCCCCTGCTGGTACAGTAAGAAAACAACTGTAAATATCTAAATTGAATCGAGGGTGTAATTGAAAATGTTTTACCAAACAAATTCAGTTATATTTAAATAATATTGAAGTACGAATGTTTAGAATCATAGAAAAATCAAATCTCAATCAATAAGTAAAAGATGCAATCGAAAAATGAACTCTAAATTTAGGAATCCATAAAAGAGTAACGAAGTAGAAAATTAAATTATATTCTAGAAATGTAAAGAGAAATAATAAAGAACGAAGCTAATGAAAGAACTTGTATTGAAATTAGTTGAAGTTGTATAAGTGTGAAAATAGTTGAAAGTGATCATGCTGTTCTCAAAGAACATAAATGACTTATCAGAAGTCATATTACAACTTTCTTTATGAATCTAATGAGAGAATGTTTCTTTGGCTCAGACGCTTTTCCATGTTCTTTGATTCACCACATATGAGATACACCGTTGTGTTCTTTACCACCAATCCATTACCGAAGTTCACAAAAATCTCCACATTGTCTCCAGATTCTAAATTTGACATTATGCCATGCCAATCTTCGTCATTAAAGGAAATTACTGTGCCATGATTGTGTATATGGAATGTACACTTTGTGTAATTAACAATTACGACAGTAGTAAATTCAGGTTCAATGATCTTAGGAGTTGATAAATAAACAACACACAAAATCATTCCTTTCATATCACCATCTTCAGGCACAACGAAAGAAACAGAGTGTCCCTCACCCATATGGGCCAAACAATAAGGATCATTCACAGCTGGGAGACAAACATCACCACACTCACTGCTTGACAATACCTGCACCATAACATAAAACGCTTGTTCATTTATCTAATTTTTCTATTCAAATTGTCCTCTATAATCATTATTTTAACATTAATAATTACAAAGTGGACATTTATAGTCAAACAAGCAACAATGCAGTACATAATCAAAACATACCAATGGTAATTAATCTAAACAAATCTGATTGAGAGTTTTGTTCTGTATTGTATCATCATTACCTCGTTAGTGATTTACAAAGCATTTATGTTTTTGTCGGTTTAAGTATATTTCTTCGACGACTGGAAATATAAGAATCATGAAGCCAGTATAATAAAGTAAGAAAGTATTGAAATAAAAGAAAAATCACACGATTAGTTGATTACCTAAATAAGAAACCTCTAGATGAAGTTCTATGGCAATAGAAATTAAACGTGATAAAATTGATTATTGTAGTTTCAGTCAGATATTTTATTAGGATTATTTTATGTTCTCTTTATTAATAGCTATAATGACAGTGAAGGTAAGAAACAGACAAAGTTAGAGAAGAACCTCATATATGTTTTCGCTGACAGCATTGAAGAATTGATGGTATGCTCCAACACCAATCAAAGAACACCTGCAGTGCTGCTTTAAAATTCCTGATTCTGTAATATTCGCAAAATATTCAACCAAAATATTTTTCACTTGATTAGATAACTGAAATTCGGTGTCACATGCTACCAAAACACTTCGAATATTTGCAAGGGTGCTAAGCATAGGTGCAATATCAATCGTATCATCCTCCATATCCATGCAAAACGAATGAATATAAGAGATGGGATTCATTATTGGGGACATCCAAGACCGAATGATAGAAGGAAAAAGATTATGAGATAATCCCTCAAATCCACGTAGGGATATATATCCAATGCTTTTTGAAGTTACAATTGAAAAAGGCACTTCTTTCACAGCTGTATTTTCAGCAATTAGAGTTATCAAGGATTCCAACTTTGTTATATCTTTATCCTTTATGTCAATCTTCGAACAACCAGAAAGAATGAGAGTTCTTAAAGATTTCATGTCATATATCTCTGTTGGAAGATTGTTTAGACTTGTACAGTCTTTCAAATTTAACAGTATAAGACGGTTGAGTGATCCAATAGATCGGTGTACTTTGCTCAATCTTGAACAATATTTGAAAATGAGGTGTTCAAGACTTGGTAATCCGGTAAAGTCAGGGGTTGCAGTTAAATGCTTGGAGTGACTGAGGTTAAGGACTTTCACCGATCTCAAAACCTACACCATGATAGTTTTTCAGTTTAGAAATATTAGAGTAGAAATAAAAAATGATATAATAGGAAGCTAGTAATTTATTTTAATTAAGTTGGGTTTTAAGGAGAAGTGGGTGGTAATAAAACCTGGGGTGTTTTCCAGAGAAATCGAAGAAGACTGCGTTTTAAATCAATAGCTATTGCATCAGGCTCATAAAGGTTGTTAGGTAGACATTCTGAAGAAAACGCACGCAAACTGATCCATCTTAGTTTCTTAATAAGGTATTGAGAATTTACAGTCGAGTGTACAGTTTTTAAGGCAATGAGAACTGAAGGCAGTTTCACAGGCATCCACTGCATGTCTTCTGTCCCCTGTGATTGAAAGAGCAAATAAAAACTAATGTACTACAGAGGAGAAAGAAAGCGCTTTCAAAAGAAGTTTCAAACCACATGTAAAGAACTTTTCTTACATATTTTGTATCCTTATCAAACCACAGTCGCCTGTTCTTCCCAAGATCCTTTACAAAATTTTCTTGAATAATTTGTATTCCGATTTTTTGTAGCAAAGGATGCATTCCAAATTTGTTGTTCTTGTTAATTGTGATGAGGTTACGCTCGATAAGAACTCTTATTCCAATATCAGCGTCTACTCCACAACCGTTTAGGATCTTCCTAACGTAGGCTCTGCTCTTACCAACAAAGAAACAACATATATCAAGGAATATATCTTTCTCCATTTCATTCAGTGAACCTTCAATGCTTATTTTTATTATCTCTGAAACACGATGCCTCCCAACTATCGCAAATTTTGACAATATAGTGTCCCATTCTTTTTTCGTCTTTTCAAATAAACTACTTCCAACGACTTCCAGAGCTAGTGGTAGTCCTCCACAATAACTAACTACTNTGATTTCCCTTTTGATCCAGGGGGCGGGAGACCTACAAAAGATTCTCCAATGCCAAAGTCAGTTGAGAGCAATGACTTTCTCTAACGAACAACAATAAATGTGCAATGAATGCAACCAACCTTACCACTCAACCTGGATTTGTATTTATAGTTTTCGCTATGGGCTTGGGATTAGTGAAAAGTTAATCACGGCCCAATTCAGCCTAATAACTTTTAATCCCTACTTACCTTAAGCCAAGTTGATTAGTGACGTGGCTGGCCGTTCTCGCGGGACTTATGCCCTGGGCGGCCGACTTCAGGCGGATCATGATTTAGGGGACATGGACGTCCGTCCTGCCATGCTCAATCCTTCCCCTCAATCAGTAGAAAGGTTTCCTAGGTCTATTATGTTGAGATGGGTGGCCGGTCCGTTCGGTGATTGGATGATGTGGACGTCTTTCTGTACGACGTCCGGCCCCTGCTGGTACAGTAAGAAAACAACTGTAAATATCTAAATTGAATCGAGGGTGTAATTGAAAATGTTTTACCAAACAAATTCAGTTATATTTAAATAATATTGAAGTACGAATGTTTAGAATCATAGAAAAATCAAATCTCAATCAATAAGTAAAAGATGCAATCGAAAAATGAACTCTAAATTTAGGAATCCATAAAAGAGTAACGAAGTAGAAAATTAAATTATATTCTAGAAATGTAAAGAGAAATAATAAAGAACGAAGCTAATGAAAGAACTTGTATTGAAATTAGTTGAAGTTGTATAAGTGTGAAAATAGTTGAAAGTGATCATGCTGTTCTCAAAGAACATAAATGACTTATCAGAAGTCATATTACAACTTTCTTTATGAATCTAATGAGAGAATGTTTCTTTGGCTCAGACGCTTTTCCATGTTCTTTGATTCACCACATATGAGATACACCGTTGTGTTCTTTACCACCAATCCATTACCGAAGTTCACAAAAATCTCCACATTGTCTCCAGATTCTAAATTTGACATTATGCCATGCCAATCTTCGTCATTAAAGGAAATTACTGTGCCATGATTGTGTATATGGAATGTACACTTTGTGTAATTAACAATTACGACAGTAGTAAATTCAGGTTCAATGATCTTAGGAGTTGATAAATAAACAACACACAAAATCATTCCTTTCATATCACCATCTTCAGGCACAACGAAAGAAACAGAGTGTCCCTCACCCATATGGGCCAAACAATAAGGATCATTCACAGCTGGGAGACAAACATCACAAGAATCACTGCTTGACAATACCTGCACCATAACATAAAAGGCTTCTTCATTTATCTAATTTTTCTATTCAAATTCTCTTCTATAATCATTATTTTAACATTAATAATTACAAAAGTGGGCATTTATAATCAAACAAACAACAATGCAGTACATAATCAAAACATACCAATGGTAATTAATCTAAACAAATCTGATTAATACTTATGTTCTGTATGTATCATCATTAAATCGTTAATGATTTACAAAGCATTTATGTTTTTGTCTCTTTTAGTATATTTCTACCACGATTGGAAATATAACAACAGTGAAGCCATAAAGTAAAAAAGTATTGAAATAAAAGAAAAATCACTTGATTAGTTGATTACAAAAATTATAAACTTCTAAAAGAGGATCTATGGATCTCGCATCTCAAAAGCAAGAAGAATCTTTTCAAATAAAAAGTACAATAAAAATACTACCTTTATAATTGATTATTGTAGTTTGACTCAGATACTTCATTAGGATTATTTTATGTTCTCTTGAATAATAACTAAAATGATAGTGAAAGTAAGAAACAAAGACAAAGCTAGAGAAGAACCTGAGATATGTTATCGCTGACTGCATTGAAGAATTGATGGTATGCTCCAACACCAATCAAAGAACACCTGAAGTGCTGCTTTGAAATTCCTGATTCTATAATATTCGCGAAATATTCAACCAAAATATTTTTCACTCGCTTAGATAATTCAAATTCGGTGTCACATGCTACCAAAACACTTTGAATATTTGTAAGGGTGCTAAGCAATGGTGCAATATCAATCGTATTATCCTCCATATCCATGCAAAACGAATGAATATAAGAGATGGGATTCATTATTGGGGACATCCAAGACCGAATGATAGAAGGAAAAAGATTATGAGATAATCCCTCAAATTGACGTAGGGATATATATCCAATGCTTTTTGAGCTTACAATTGAAAAAGGCACTTCTTTCACAGCTGTATTTTCAGCAATTAGAGTTATCAAGGATTTCAACTTTGCTATATCTTTATCCATTATGTCAATCTTGGAACAACCAGAGAGAATGAAGGTTCTTAAAGATTTCAACTCATATATCTCTGTTGGAAGATTGTTTAGACTTGTACAGTCTTTCAAATTTAGCAGTATAAGACTGTTGAGTGATCCAATAGATTGGTGTACTCTGCTCAATCTTGAACAATATTTGAAAATGAGGTGTTCAAGACTTGGTAATCCGGTAAAGTCAGGGGTTGTAGTTAAATGCTTGGAATGACTGAGGTTAAGGACTTTTAGCGATATCAAAACCTGCACCAAGATAGTTTTTCATTTTAGAAATATTAGACTACAAATTAAAAATGAAATAATAGGAAGCTGCTAATTTATTTTAATTAAGTTGTATTTTAACGAGAAGTGGGTGGTAATAAAACCTGGGATGTTTTCCAGACAAATCGAAGAAGACTGCGTTTTAAATCAATAGCTGTTGCATCATCCCAATAAAAGTTTTTAGGCAGACCTTCTGAAGAAAACGCATGCGAACTGATCCATCGTAGTTTCTTAAGAAGGTACTGAAAATTTACCGTGGGTTGTACACTTCCGATGGCAGTGAGAACTGAAGGCTGTTTCCCAGGCAACCACTGCATGACTTCTGTCCCCTGTGTTGAAAAGAGCAAATAAAAACAAATGTACTGCACAGGAGAAAGAAAACACTTTCAAAAGAAGTTTCAAACCACATGTAAAGAATGTTCTTACATATCTTGCATCCATACCAAACCACAGTCGCCTGTTCTTCCAATGTTCCTTTCCTAAATTTTCCTGAGTAATTCTTATTCCGATTTCTTGTAGCAAAGGATGCATTCCAAATTTGTTGTTCTTGTTAATTTTGATGAGGTTACGCTCCATGAGAACTCTTATTCCAATATCAGCGTCTACTCCACAGCCATTTAGGATCTTCGTAACATAGGCTCTGCTCTTACCAACAAAAAAACAACATATATCAAGGAATATATCTTTTTCTATTTCATTGAGTGATCCTTCGATGCTTATTTTTATTATCTCTGAAACATGATGCCTGCTAACTATCGCAAATTTTAACAATACAGTGTCCCATTCTTCTTTCTTCTTTTCAAATAAACTACTTCCAACGACTTCAAGAGCTAGTGGTAGTCCTCTACAATAACTAACTACTCTTCTTGCAAGGTCTTTGTATTCTTCTTTTGGTTTTGCTTCTCTAAATGCGTGCCAACTAAGAAGCTCAAGGGACTCCTCTGCGTTCATTCGCTCTACCTGAAAGTCAAAATTAGCTTGATCTCCCAGCCCTATTCCATATATTGATGTAACGATTATAACACTTCCTTCAACTAACAATTTAAGACAATCAAATAGGTCGAATAAATTAAAGTAATTAACATCGTCAAGTACAATCAGAACCCTTTTTCCTAATAGTCTTTCCCGAATCATAGTTCTTCCCACATCAACGCTAGGAATCTCCACTTTTTGTTTTAGGATATCTAAAAGAAGTTGTTCTTGTAAACGAAGAAGCCCTCTTATTCCTCTAAATTGTGAAATATTTTCAATGAAACTTTTGTCTTTGAATGTCCATTGAATTTGATTGTAGATGGCTTTGGCAAGAGTGGTTTTACCAGATCCTTCCTCTCCACATATCTCTATCATACAAACTTCAGTGGATTTATTTTTGATAGTTCGAATCAAATCTTCCACGTGGGATTGTAATCCAACAGGAAATTTAGTAGCAGACAAGACTTGTAAATTAAAAACGCTCTTAACAATTTTGTCCACTAGTTCAGCATCACTCCTTCAAGTTCAAAAGCAGTTATAGAAGAAGTCATGTATTAAGAAAATGAAATCGGAGGCTTAAAAGATGGTTGATTGAGTGAGTGATGTACCTGTGATTGCTCTCATCCCATCCAAAGAAATTTGCAGCTTTGGTGAGTGCATGGCTCCACCTGGACATTCCATGCTCCAGTTCTTCTCCTGAAAATGTTTGCTGTGCAGTTGCCTTCAAGACTTTTCCAAAGTCACCCTTCTGAAGACGTACATCAGATGGCTGGATTTCATAATATACTGGCATAACATGTCGGAAATAAGTTTCGTGCCATTTGATGATTTGTTCAAGCTGATTAAGACACCAAGCAGATTGAGAATACGTTTGGGTGAAAACAATAATTGCTACCCGACAGTGGCTGAGAATAGGTTCTTGGATGTGAGTTGACTTCACTGCATTGTGGTGATGAAGGAAAGTGGTAAGACCAACAGTAGAGAGGACAGAATTGAGATGAGAAACAAATTTTCTGTTGATGTCTTCTCCAGTGAAGTTGATGAGCACATCGTACTTCCGTGGTAGTTTGTATGATGAGGAGGCGATATCCATGGAAAGGAATTTGAGAGGTCAGGAAGAGTTAGAAGAAAAAACAATACTGCAAGATAGAGAAGAAGAATGCATCTTAAAACAATTATATAGTTTTAATCTTTTATTAATAAATGTTAAATACAATGTTAACACATATATAATCAAGTTTGAATTTTTATCTAATTATTGTAATATTGTTAAGCCAACATATATAACTGTTTGGTTTTTGTTTAATAACTTCGAAGAGTGTTGGTCACATTTTAGACTTTTGCAGTACGTCATACCACCATTAAATAGTGTCGTACAAATGTCTTAATGAGTGTCCCTACAAGAAGAAAATTCCACACCAGGCGGTGTGATAGTAAAAATAATAAATGTGTAATTAATTTATACAGGTTAGGTTAATATCATCTATATGTCTTAATAGCAATTAAGATTTGATTTAGCGGTTATCAGAGTAAAATTGTTTAACGCAATTAATTTTATTATTATTTCTTTATTCAATTTCGAACCCATCTAAGCCCTAAATAATACTTTGGCTTAATACCCTATTTTGTTCTCAGTTTCGCTCGAAAATGTCAAATTAGTTCATCCTTTAAAAAATGCGTCAATTACGTCCTCACTTAATAAAATTTGCATCAATGAAATCCCTTCTGTTAAATCCGTACAAACGGCGTTAATTAAAGAAAGAGAAAAATAATTAACATTGATGTAAATTTTATTAAGTGAGGACGTAATTGACGCATTTTTTAAAGGATGAACTAATTTGACATTTTCGAACGAAACTGGGGACAAAATAGGGTATTAAGCCTAATACTTTTCATCCAAGTTCTACATTTTTTTATTTTGTTTAATACATCATCATTTAATTCCTAGTTATGAGGCTTTTGTTCGAAGTCGTGGTACGTTTTAAAATTCAGTTAGACTCCATATTTCGTTAACAAATATTCAAAATAGTGTTTTTGGACGGTGCAGTTGCCTTCATGGTTAAAACTGAATGATATATTTGAATGTGTAAATTAAAAAAATATATATATAATGACGTCAACTAGGTTTAACAAAATGGGTTAAATCAAATTACCCTTATCTAAGAATCCTATCACGAATTCTGGGTTTAACAATCTGATGAAATTGGTCTTGTAATCACTATGGCGTAGTGATTCCTTGAAGGTGAAATTTGAAGAACGTATGTACGTGAGGTAAGTGTTGCTAACCTTAACCTACTTACTTGATGTTCTTGTTGTTGGACTTAGGGGTTAAGGGTTAAGGTTTAAGGTGGAAATAGAGGGTGGAGTGGAGGTAGAAAGTAATGGTGGAGAGAAAGTGGATATGGTGGAGTGGAGGTGGACAGAGATGGTGGACTGGAGGTGGAAACTAATGGTGGAGAGGAGGTGAATGGTGGAGTGGAGGTGGACATAAATGGTGGACTGGAGGTGAAAACTAATAGTGGAAACTAAGCCAGATATCTTTCATGTGTTTTTCGTTGATATCCATTTGGGACCAAAGTACATAATTTTAAATTGAAAAGGGGACAACATTCAAGGGAAACTAAATTTAACATTACATATAAATACTTGAACGTAAAGATTGAGCTTGACTTTCACATTACATGAATACCTACACCTGAATGTAAATATTGAGCTACAACCTAAACAGACCCACATTCTCACAATATTCACCACAATAACAACACACAGCTCCAACTAACAATTTTATCCTTTCTCTGACAATTTCACCATCTCTTTCGTCAATCTTTCTCTGACAATTTCTCTCACAGTCTCACCGACGTCTCTATGCTTGACAGGTAGGTGAAAAGTCATTTTTTCGCCTTAGAGACGTCTGATCCTGCCACATCGACGTCTATATTCGATTATAGACGTCAGTGCCCCGCCTAACTGACAGGTATATATCTGACAGGTAGATGAAAAGTTATTTTTTTCCGCCAAACAGACATCGGTGCCTGCGCATCCGACGTCTAAATGGCCTGATAGGGTATGTGAAAAGTTGTTTTGGACGTCATATTAGTGAGGGCCCCAACGTCTATGCGAGATTAGACGTCGGTTACCCTAGGGAACCGACGTCTAATTTGCTGTTAAATTGGACATCAATCCCGCACTTACGAGTACTCCATCATCGTCTTCCTTCTCACCTTTTCTCTCCGTGGCATTGCTTTTCCAGGTGTGTTTTTTTCTCTTTTGAACCATTGAAACGTACTTATATTCCGATTATATCAGTCTTTGGTTGATTATCTTTCATTTCAACCGATTAAAATGAATTTTTGTTGTATTTCAGTGCAGTTTTTCTCGTGTCTTTGGGTAGCGTAGTACCACATTCTCCCTTTGCTAGTTTCGTTGTAAGAAAAGCTTGCATCTTTTGCATGTCTTATAGCATTTCAACCCAAATCCGAACTTCGTTCCTTACCTAGTTCTATTGTCACCGTTCGTTTTCATTGGCGGTTTCAATGGAACTAGGCAAGGTCCCAGATTCGGTTTTGGATTGAAATGCCATAAGAGGTGCAAAAGACGCAACCTTTTTCTATGATGAAACTAGCAAAGGAAGAAGGTGCTACTACGTTACCCAAAGACACGAGTTGTAGTAGACGTCAGTTAATGCAATGTTCGATGTCTATGGAGCTATTAGACGTCGGTTACTGCAACATGTCCAACGTGTATACAACCTTTAGACGTCGGTTAACGCAGTAACAGACGTCTATAAAGACATTCGACCTTTCGAGTCCGATGTTTGATTAATGACACCCACAAAGACATCGGTTCTGAAGCTGATGTTAAAAGGCCAAAATAACAGACATTAAAAGCCCTTTCACTACAAAAAAGTAGGGCATTACCGAAGGCCAGAAACCCTCGGTAAAAGCCATAGGCCGTCGATAATGGGTGTTTACCGAAGGCTTATCGACGGCTAAAAATCCTTCGGTAAATCCCTTGTCGCTAACAATTACCGAGGGCTTTCGTCCTTCGGTAATTACCTAGGGCCAAAAGCCTTCGGTAATTACCGAGGGTCAAAAGCCTTCGGTAATGACCAAACGAGGGTATTTACCGAAGGGCAGAAGCCTTCGGTAATGACCAACAGTGGGCATTTACCGAAGGGCAAAAGCCTTCGGTAAATTGCAGAGCAGGTTTCAGAGAAATGGCATTTCCTGTGCAACCCAGACCTGTATATCAAATTTCAATTACAAACAGACCTGCATATCAGTTTTCAAGCACATACAAACATGCATAATGTGCATCTCAAAGATGCAATCAATTATCAGGAATACATTGAACATCAATTAATCCATAGAACATTCATTAATGTATAGATAATGTAATTATAGTTCAAATATAAAACAATGTAACAAAAGGATGTTCTAACATCCAAAGTCTGGAAGTAGATAAAATTAACACTGAAATGATATAAAGTCCAAAATGTTATAATATCTAAATGTTTGTCTAAGTTATAATAAAAAAATGAAACTAATAATGTACATAACTATCATCAGAATGATCTTCATCATCCTGCTCCTCTACTGATGGGTGGACTGGTGTGGGTTGGACTGATGAGGGTTGGACTGATGAGGGTTGGACTGATGTGGGCTGCTGAGTGGCAGCAGGTGATGAGGAGGGTCGTGACTGG